TGGTCAAGTGGTGAGGATTTTTGTTTTCTTTACACTGAGGTGCAACCCATACTGAAGGCTGCAGTCTTTGATCTTCATAAATATTTTAAGTCCCCTTCCCTTTCAGCAAGCAAGATTCAATCATCTGCATGTGGCAGGTTGTTAATGAGTCTTCCTCCGATCTTGATGCCACGTTTTTCTTCATATAATCCAGCTTCTCAAATTATTTGCTTATCATACAGATTAAATAAATATGGTGAAATACTACAATTCTGGAGCACATTAATTTTAAACCATTCAGTGTTCCCTTGTTCTGTTCAAACAACTGCCTCTTGGTCTATGTACAGGTTCTTCATGAGCACAATTGTGTTTTGGGATACTCATTCTTCACAATGTTGTCCATAGTTTGTCATGATTGAAAGCCTTTGTTTAGTCAATAAAGCACAGGTCAACATCTTTCTGGTATTTTCTGCTTTCAGCCAAGATCCAGCTGACGTCAGCAATGATATCCCTCATTCCATGTAATTACTCATTTAAATCTGGCTTGGACCTCTGGCAGTTCCCTGTCAACGTAGTGTTGCCGCCATTTTTGAATTATCCTTAGCAAAATTTCACTTGCATGCATTATTAATGATATTGTCTGATGGTTTTTGCATTCCATTGTGCCACCTTGCTTTGGAATGGGCACAAATATGGATGTCTTTCAATCAGTTGGCCAGGTAGCTGTCTTCCAAATTTCTTGGGATAGATGAGTGAGTACTTCCATTACATTAGTTTGTTGAGAGATTTCAATTTGAATTAATCAATTCCTGGTGCCTCGTGCTTTGCCAATTCCTTCAGTATACCTTGGACTTCTTCCATCAGTATCACTGGCTCTTGATCATATGCTACCTCTTGAAATGGTTGCACATCTACCATTTCTTTTTGGTACAGTGACTCTGTGTATCCCTTCCATCTTTTTTTTTTTTCTAAGTTTTTATTGTGAATTGAGTGATAGTTGACATGGGAGAACATCAACTTTACACTCATCCTTTTGTATTTTGTTTCATTGCAATAATTACAATCCCCTCCATGCATCATCATTCAACAGCATTTGCTTCCAGTCCCTGTTTGTTTTTGGATGTACACTGAAGCACTCAGGAATATATAACCATTCATACAACCAAAGGGTACACCCTGCACACCAGCCCCCCAGCCAACAGCACACAGCCCCTCTCCCTCAAGTCTAGAGTCTCCAACTGCTCCATCTCTCCATGCCATCATCTCTGCCTCTATCTCTGGTGTCTCTGCTTCTCTGGATAGGATCCCAGGGGCCTCCCCTCATTTTATTCTAAATGTCTCTCTTTAACATTTACAACATTCACAATCAGTCCTGAGAGCAATTATTCACTATTGAACCACAAGAGTCTTATACTCATCTCCTTTCACCAGTCCCGTCTAGACAGGTTGGAAACCACTCTGTGAGGATTCCTCCGCACCCTCTGAAACTGAGCTCCCTCATGAAAACGTGTAAGCCACTTTGTGCCTTTGTTTCCCCCCTCTCCCATTTTGGATAACCAATGTCTAAGTTGCCCATTCCTGTCAACCCTGTGTTGACAGAGGGGGTGGGAATGATCCTTGCTATAAAAATTCGTTCCCGCTATACATCTATAGGTATAGCTTACGTTCATCAAATTGTAGCAGATTACACTTTTTTCCCCCTTTTCTTTCTTTCTCTACTCGAGTTCCGATCATCCAGTCATTGAAGCCAGGTCAAGTGGGTACTATCTGCAAGTATGGGCATTTTTGCTTCCATCTTCTTTTGATACTTTTTGCGTCAGTCAATATTTTTCTCATGTTTTGTTGTGGTTAAGTGCTTTCAAGTCGGTTCTGACCCATAGCCACCTTGTATAGGGTTTCCAGGGAGAGACTGGTGAGCTTGAACCACCGACCTTGTGGTTCAAACCTACTTTGCCGTCCAGTGCATTAACTCACAGCACCACACCAGGACTCCATTTTGCCCATAGAATTCTTCAATCTTCAATATTTCAAGTCGAGACTTGTTTTTTTTCTTCAGCTTTCTCAGCTTGAGAAGTGCTAAGTCTGTTCTTCCCTTTTGATTTTCACATTTCATTATAATATTTGACTTTGTCTTCTTGAGCTGCCCTTTGAAATTTTCTATTCAGCTCTTTTACCTCCTCATTTCTTCCATTTTCTTTAGCATCTCTGTGCTGAAGACCAAGTTTCAGAGTCTCTTCTGACATCCATTTGGTGTTTTCTTTCTTTCTTGTCTTCTTAATGACCTTTTGCTTTCTTCCTATATGATGTTTTTGATGTCATCCCACAACTATTCTGGTCTTCACTTAGTGTCTAATTAATCAAATCTGTTCTTGAGGTGAACTCTAAATTCAGGTGAGATATGTTCAAAGTCATATTTTGACTTTCATGAACTTGTTTTAATTTTCTTCAGCTTCAGCCTTAACTTGCATTATGAGCAACTGATGGTCTGTTCCACAGTCTACCCCTGGCGTTGTTTAGACTACTTGGCCATGTTCATAGACTGATATCTTGGTACTTGGTTCCTTGGTTCCAGTCCAGTTAGTTTCTGCCGTGCTCCAATAATGTTATAAAGCTCTTTTAGGGCTGCTGATAAATGCCTACAGGACACACCAATCCACCCTAAACCTCAGCCTGAAGTCACTCAGCTCTAGCTCCATGGGTCAGCTAACCTAGCTCCCCAGTTGAGTACCCAGAGGTCCTCCACCCTTTAAACAAGTCTCCTGCCCAAAGACACTCAGCTCTGTTGCCTGGGAAGCCTACCTCTCTCTCCGGCTCTGGCTCTTTTCCTGTTGCTGCTGCTGCTGCTGCTGCTGCTCCTCTCTCACACCTCTGCTCTTTCTCCAGTGTCACAGCTTTTTGTCCCTGGGTCAAGGACACACACCACTCCTTTGATGATAAAAAGATCTGCCTTCTTGTTCCTGAGATGGCTCATTTTATACCATTTGAGAGTTCCAAGTTTTCACAATTAACCCTGTTAACAAGCACTCACAACTGAATCATATAATCCATCAGCATCCTTTTCTACCATCTCTTACCCAGACCCATCAGGAAAAGGTTGTTTGGTGGGAGTTTCCATAGTCTTTGGCTACAAAAGATGGTCAATAATTCTCTGTATTTCAGAGCCCCATCATGTGATAGAGTAGAACTGCTCAACAGCTTTTCCTTGAGTGTCATCCTATGGAAACAGATCACCAGGTCTTTCTTTTATCGCACTTCTGGATTCAAAGCATTCACCTTTAGGTTAGTAGTTAAGCACAGTTACCATCACCTAGGGACCTTATAATGCCTTATGATTTTTTATGATTCCATTGTATCTGAAAGGTCTGTCCAGTTATAGTTTGTGTCTTTCGACTGGCAAGCATCATGGCTGCTCACTAAATGCTTGTTCATTCTGATGATGATTACATTCATTGTTGCATTTGACTGCTTAATATTGCATGCCAGAGTTCTGGAATCTACTCAGGTGTGGTTTTCTTTATGATGCTGTTGTGTTGTTGGTGGGTGCCTTTGAGTCGGTTCCAACTCCACAACCCTGTGTATAGCAGAATGAAACATTGCCTGGTCCTAGGACATCCTCACAATCTTTGCTATAGTTGAGTCCATTGCTGTAGCCACTGGCCTGGTCAGTCCATATCTTTGAGGGTCTTCCTTTACCTATCTACTTTACCAAGAATGATGTCCTTCTCCAGGAACTGGTCCCTCCAGATAACATGTCCAAAGTACATGAGGAAACCTCTTTATAGTCACTTCTAAGGAGGGTTCTGGTTGCACTTCTTCCAAGACAGACTGATTTGCTCTCTGGAAGTTCATGCTGTACTTAATATTCTTTGCCAATATCAAAATTCAAATGATTCAATTCTTCTTTAATCTTCCTTATTCATTGTCCAACTTCTGTATGCTTATGTTGTTTTGTTGTTAAGCACCATCCTGTTACCCTGTATACGATTTCTGAGGAGTGGCTGCGGGTTTGAGTCAATGACCATTCTGTTAGCAGTCTAGTGCTTATCCTATAGCACTACAGATGAAAATATCATGACTTGTGTCAGTAGCACCTTAGTACACAAATCATCTTTGATTTTTAACACTTTACAGAGGTCTTTGTAGCATATTTTCCTAAAGCAATACATCATTTAATTTCTTGAGTGCTTCTTCCATGGGCATTGGTAGTGAATTCAAGTAAAATGAAATGCTTGACAACTTCAGTCTGTCCTTTGTTTATGATGATGTTGCTTATTGGTCCAGATATAGATGATATACACATGACACAACCTTGCTCACTGATAGTGAAGAGGACTTGAAGCACTACAGCCTTCAGTATGTGTTGTTGTTATGTGCCGTGGAGTCAGTTCCGACTCATAGCGACCCTGTAACAGGGTTTCTGAGGCTGTAAATCTTTACAGGAGCAGAACGCCTCATCTTTCTCCCACGGAACAGCTGGTAGTTTCAAACTGCTGACCTTGCGGTCAATAATAAAGAAAACAAAAATCCTCACAGATGGACCAATTCCAAGCTATGATGTTATTCGGAACAGTTAAAATGATGGAATTCACTGGTAGGTCTAAAATAGAAGGAATTTAGTCTATTTTTCCAGGAAAGTTAGACGGCCCTTTGTTGAACAGAACCCTCCCAGGGGAACTTTGGTGGGGCCTCCTGATCACAATTCCCATGTTCAGCCACACCACAGGGAGTGATGGGTTTAGAGTCAAAAGACTCAAGTTGGAATTAGGGCTGTGTGACTTGGAATAATATGTCTTGTCTCAGTTTCATTCTTGGTAATGGATATAAAGTGATCTCCCTAACAAGTTGGTGAGAATGAGACACCATAGAGTGGAAATGCCTGCTATGAAGTCATCCAACTGGGCTCGCTGAAGGCATGGAACTCAAACTACAAGGGCATAATGTTAGCAAGTCAGGCTTTCATTTTGTTATCATAAACAAATTTAATAAGAGTCATTCCATGAGCCTATCCATCTCCATTTCAGACGGGAAACGATATGATGCATATGTCTTATACCCGAAGCCACAAAATGGAAGCCAGAGGCATGACATGGACATGCTGGTGTTGAAGATCTTGCCAGATGTTCTGGAGAGGCAGTGTGGATATAAGTTATTTATATTCGGGAGGGATGAAGTTCCAGGACAAGGTATGTTCGAAGTGAGGTATTAAAAACAACAAATAAATAAAAAGGAATTTCTCCTCATCTTTCACTTCACAGATGATGGGGGGCATGACTTGCCTTAGCTTGGAAACCATAGACAGCTTTTGAGCATGGCCTCTCTGGGCAGACCAGCCCCAACCAAAGGGGGTTCAGGCTCATTCTTGCAATATGATGAGGACTGAGATTCCTGTTCAAACTAATGTGAAGAACTAGGGTAACCCATTCATGTGAATGAGAGGCCAATGACATAGTTTTGGCCAAAAGACTTGTGTTCATTTGCTCATGTCATTGAGACTAACTGCTGAGTATTTTTCAGTTGGTTTCAATATGTAAACCAACTCATGTTTTTCTCATTGAATAGAAGACTTTTGTCTCATCTAGAAAGAAAATGGGGATAAGAATGCTTCCCTGATCTGGTGGGGAGAATCGAATGAGGCCAAACCCGAGGAAGGATCACTGTGATACTAAGGCCTATAAGGCCTTCAACAAATGAGTTTCCCTCTTGTCTTATAAGCCCTCTTTCTTCAAAAGCTATAGAGTCAAATGATTGGTACAGGAAACAAACAACCTTTACTAGTCACTGGGAAATCAATATTACAACTTCAAAGTATTTTTTATTGTTACTGTTAGTTGTTGAGTTGATTGTGACTCACAGTAACCATGTGTGTGTACACAGTGTAACTGGTCCATAGGTCTATACCAGGCCACTTTAAAATGTTTCTAGGCTGCTCACATCCATAGTGATACAACTAGATCACAGCACATACCTTATCAAGTTCTGAAATCATCTTCCCTGAGGAAGTGAAAGTCATTTTAGTGCTTGCTATAAACATGTAGAACAATCCTTGTTTCATAGAATATTGGTATACATTCATTTATCCATTCACTTAACAAATATTTATTGAATGGCACTGTAGGATAACTAGTGGACTGCTAACTGCAGTAACTGCAGGGTTGGCAGCTCAAACCCACCAGCCACTCTCGGAAACCCTACACTGGGTCTCTATGAGTCAGAAGCGACTCGATGGCATACAACAACAACAGCAATTATGTGTTGGGTTCTGTATGAAGCACTTAAACCAGTTGCTGTCAAGTCAGTTCCAACTCATGGTGATCCCATGTGAGCCAAAGTAGAACTCCATAGCGTTTTCAATGCACTGGACCGCAATGTCGGTTTGAACACTAACTGCAAGGGTGACAGTTCAAACTCACCAGTTGCTCCATGGAAACCAGATACAAGGTCACTATGAGTTGGAACTGACTTGAGAGCAGTTAAGAGCAACATTTTACAGAAGTAGATTGTCAGGCCTGTCTTCTGAGGCTCTTCTGTTTAGCAATTGAGGGCACTAACAATTTGTATCACTCAGGGACTCCATTCTAGGCATGGGAAGGATTAAAAGAAACCAAAGGGGAATTGCTCTTGTGGTGCCTAGTCTCTCCTCACATCCTATGAGAGATCATCGCAGGCAGAAAAGAATCTGCATGCTGTTGATGAGTAACATGGAATCAGTTCTGACTCATAATGACCCTGTAAAGGGTTTCTGAGGAGCAGCTGGTGGGTTTGAACGACCAACTTTGTGGTTAGCAGCTCAGTGCTTTTCCTACAGTGCCAGGACTCTAGAATCTTCATAGCTGGATATTTATAACACCCTTCTCTTCCCTTCCCTTGCATTCATTAGGGCCTGTTCTATGGCTTCATGATTAGTCCTATGATGGTGGTGGTAGTGGTGATGTGCCGTGGAGTCGTTTCTGACTCAGTGCGACCTGTATAGGGTTTCCAAGCTGTAAATCTTTACAGGAGCAGAAAGCCTCATCTTTCTCCCATGGAACTGCTGGTAGTTTCAAACTGCTGGCCTTGAGGTTGGCAGCCTGACTTGTGGCCACTACACTAGCAGAGCTCTTTGATTAGTCCTATAAAGCCTGGAAATTTAACAAGATATAAAGGGAAGAGAGTCCTGGTATGACACTATAGAATAAGCACTGAGTCACTTACCACAAGGCCGGTGGTTCAAATCCACTAGCAGTATCTCAAAAACCCTGTACAGGGTGGTTATGAGTTGGAACAGTAACAACAAAGATATGAGAAAACCAAAATTGTCAGAGTAACACAACATTTGAGTCAACTACATTTTCCCTATAATGTCTAAATCTGTTTTTTAAAAAATGTGTTCTTCATCTAATATGTATATGCTAGACTTCCAGCTAGTCTAGGAGCTTTGGTAGCGTAGTGGTTATGAGTCCAGCTGCGAACCACAAGGTCAACAGTTCGAAACTACCAGCTGTTCCATGGGAGAAAGATGAGGCTTTCTGCTTCCATAAAGATTTACAGCCTCGGCAACCCTGTACAGGGTCTCTATGAGTCAGAACTGACTTGACGGCACTTAACAATAACAGGAATGTAAAATTAGTCATGATAAGATCCTTGTTTTGAGCCATTCACAGTCTCTGGGTGAAGCAGGTGGGATTGGGAAAGTGATATGCAAACAATGAACTCTAATGAAATCTGTGAGCATAGAAGACTAATTCTGCAGGGGGATGTCTGGAAGGCTCCATACAAGGAATGACATGTTTAAAATGTTGTCAAAGCATTCCTAATTACATCAGGTACAAAGCCCTTATTCTCTCTGCAGTGCCCATTTTTGACAGTCTTAGTAGCATTAAGATCATGAGCTTTTCTGAATCAACTCGTCTTGCTTTATGTTCAGCTGTGGCCAGTGTCATTGATGAGAACATTAAGCTGTGCAGAAGGCTGATCATCATTCTAGTCCCCGAATCCCTGGGCACTGGCTTATTAAAGAATGAGTCAGAAGAACAAATCACCGTCTATAATGCCCTCATCCAGGATGGAATGAAAGTCATTCTAATTGAACTGGAGGGGATCAAGGACTACACAGACATGCCGGAGTCAATGAAGTATATCAGACAGAAGCATGGGGTCATCCAGTGGAGTGGGAACGTCACAGAGGAGTCCCAATCTGCAAAGACCAAGTTCTGGAAAAAAGTGCGCTATCATATGCCACCTACCAGATACCCTCCGTCTTTCTCCACGAGCACCATGTAACTGAACAGTGGATAAGAGGGAGGCCAGCATGAGCTTCATTACCCAGTGATGGATAGTTTGGTGCCTTATACTTATAAAAAGATGCATTTCATGTGGACAGTATGCCCCCAAAGATTGCTGCTGTCTATTTGGGAAATGCATTGCTGTCGATTCTGACTCATGGCAATCTCATACATGTCAAAAAAAACCATAACTAACAAACAGAAAATGGGACCTCTCACAAGAATATGAGGTCCTCAGTTTGCGTTTGGCTACTAACTAAAATTTTAGTGGTTCAAATCCACACAGTGGTGGCTAAAAAGACAGACCAGGTGATAGATTATAGTCATTGCAAATGTTATAGAGCACAGTTCTACTGTGACACACATGGGGTCACCAGCGGTCAGAATTCTTTCGATGACATCTGGTTTACCGTCTTAGCACTGTTGGTGAATTGATTCGTTGGAATTTTTTTTGTTTTTTTTTTCTATTTTAAAGACAGAAAGCGTTTTTCTCTAATATGTATCTTAAGTCTCATTTTGTTTAAAAGAATTTAAAGCTGTATTATTAGTGTATTAATATTAAAAAATTATTTCAGCATCTTTCATTTTATGTTGGAGGAAAATGTATTTTGTTTCTTACGTTAGAAGCTTGTTTTCTAAAGGGCATCACCATTTCATATACCTGAGCACTGTACCTTGTTCACAGGTTTGAATGCACTCTCCAGTTGTCAGACCTTGTGGTATGATTGGAGAATTTGAAAAATATAACCCCCATGTTTTAAATGATTGCCACATTAGTCAATTAAAGTTCTGAAATGCTTTGTTCCATTCATGTCATTATGGCCAACTCTACTTTGAGGAGGCTGCTCTTCCCCATTCATATTTTGAGTGCCTTCCAATCTGACGGGCTCCTCTTATGACACTACATCTGACAATATACTGCTGCTATTCATGGATTTTTCAGTTGCTAAACATTCAGAAGTAGTCGGCCTCTCCTTCTTTCTAGTCTGTCTTTGTCTGGAAGCTCAGCTGAAACCTGTCAACTATGGGCGACCCTGCTGGTATTTAAGATACCAGTGGCATAGATTCCAGCATCATAGCAAAAGGCAAGTCATCACAGTATGACAAACTGACAGAAAAGTCATACCTTCCTGCTCTAAAGAGACTTTTGTTCCTATTTTTAACAACAATGCTAGAATTTTATAGGGCTCTACATAGAGGCTTGATGACCAGCATGTTAGTGAGTCATTCAGACTGCTCCTAAAAATTATTTGGGAGAGCAGACTCAGAATTTTAGTGGTATTTTAACAAGCCTCTAGACGAGGAGTGGGGAACCTTTTTTTCTGCCAAAATTTATAACATCATTCGCGGGTCATATGAAATTATCAATTTAAAAAGTAGCCTGCTATATTGGGTCAAACATTTAATTAGCTTACCCCTAAGGAGCTCTGGTAGCGTAGTGGTTACGAATTGGGCTGCAAACTGCAAGGTCAGCAGTTTAAAACTACTAGCTGTTCCGTGGGAGAAAGATGAGGCTTTCTGCTCCCGTAAAGATTTACAACCTCGGAAACCCTGTACAGGATCGCTATGAATTGGAAACGACTCCACAGCACATAACCAACCAACCAAAGAAGTTCTGGTGTGGCGCTGTGGGTTAATGCGCTAGAATGCAAGGTCAGCAGTTCAAGTTCACTAGCCACTCTTTGGAAACAGGGTCACTATGAACAAGACCCAACAGTACTACACTTAATGGCAGTACCAGACCAAATGATTTTACAGGCCTTCTATGATCTGCGGGCTGGCCATTCCCCACCCCTGCTCTGGACCCAAACTTTCCAGCTTGTGTGCCACAAATGAGTTGCAAGTCCCTTGACATAATTATACCTGAGATGTTTATTCATGGTGTATCTTGGAGTCTTAGTCCTTATCTGTTCACTTCAGTGTACTTGATTTGTTTCTGTGTATGCCGTGATGCGAAAAAGATTGGAAAACATGGATTTTATAGCTTTCCTACTTTATTGTGGAAACTGAGACCTCCCCAAAAGTGAAGTGACTAAAGTAGACATTCAGTAATATGTGACAGACCCAGGAAAAGAACCTCAGGCTTTTAACTATGCTGTGGTTCTTTCATCCATTGCAAAGTTTTCTGACCCTTTTAGTCCTGTGATGTAAACCATTGGTTGAAACAAAAAAAATAATGTGAAAATATAGAAAGTGATTTCTGGAAGCATACAAGTGAGCTTTCTGAATAATTGCCTTTAGTTAACTCTGGGTGTTGTTAGGCACTTACACATTTTTGTTTTGTTATATCTTGTTTTTTGCCCTTCAGTGAAAACAATTATGGCATGTAAGTGCATGTGGGATTTAGCCTGCAGAATTGAGAGTTTTGCAGTTCTTGAGTAGACTGTTTCTAAGTGCTGAAGGTTTTCTTGGGAAAGTCTTACCTGAGACACACTCTAGCTTGAAGCACTGGAGTTAACTTATTTTTGCTTCCTTCTAGAACATCCTTGTAGGAGTTTGGGGACCCACAGACTGCACGTAGAGTTCTTCAGAGCACGAAGACTTGAGTTAGAAAGCCATTCTTGTCTCCCTGGGCCGATTTCCACATTTAGTGCTGGTGTGAGGAGAAAAGAGATGATGCATGTGAAGTAGACTATGGGCACAGTAAACAGTTATGGGCAGTTTGGATAGTCTTTAAAGAACTCCAGCCATAATATTTAGAGAAAAGGTTTAATTGAGGGGACACATTTAATGGCCATTGAATGCTTTGCAGCTGATGATTTTGGAGAATCCCCAGTTCCTCCCTGGCTTTTTAAAGTCCCACAAAGAATAGCCCTGAACATGAGTGCTCCATGTTGCCAGCCTCCAGAGTCTGTCATTGACCTACTGGCATGGACACTGAGGTATCCAGGTCATCCTGTCTGCCGGCTGGTTCTCTTTCCCACCCATGCAAGGATACCACCCTGTCCTTTCTGGTCACTCTTAATCTTCACAAAGCTCCCCTTCTGATGTGGCCTTACATGATTGTCCTGCATTATTTCTTAGTCTTTTTTTGTTAATATGCATTTCCAGCATTTTGTACATGTTCTTTCATCTTTTAGCTTAGTAATCAAACATATACTCTAGCTGCTAAAGCTCAAGATGTGTAATCTTGGTACTAAATACCTACCATTTTGAAAATATTCCTATCTCTTAATTTTAGTATTACAGTTTCAATGCTGTCATTTAAAATTTTCCATTAATGAAATAATAGGGATATTATTTTTGAGGTTGGGAAATTTCCACTTGGAAACACAAGCATGCCAACCTGGAGCAGCTAGAGGAAGTCCAGAAGCAGAGGACCCTGGGACGATCAAGAGAAGAGCAGAGTACGGGACCCTATCCAGAGAAGCAGCAACCCCAGAGATGGAGGCAGAGATGATGATGTGGAAAGTTGGAGCAGCTGGGGACTCTAGACTCAAGGAGGGAGAGGGGCTGTGTGCTGGTGGCAGGCTTTCAGGGAATGCCCTTTGGTTGTTTGAAGAGTTATATATTCCTGAGTGCATCGATGTACATCCAACCCCCCCCCCAAAAAAAAAAAAAAAACCCCAAAAAAACAGAGGGAATGGAAGCAAATGCTATTGAATGATGATGCATGGAGGGGATTGTAATCATAGCAATTAAATGAAATACAATAGGATGAGGATGAATGTAAAGCTGATGTTCTCTGATGTAAACTATCACTCACTTCACAATAAAAACTTGAAAAAAAGAAAAAAGAAAGTGCTTGCAAACTCTACAATGCCATGACCATAATGTGGGAAGCAGCCCCTCAGTGCCTTCTAGCCCAGTCAGGACCTACACACGCCCCACCGCCAGTGACTCATATAAGGCTTCTGTATTGTATCACAGTCAGGTGACTTTTCCTCAGCTGTTGGTCCCACTTCATATTTGTAAACTTTCCTACAATACATGTTCATTGGGTTGATTTATACAGGGCTATGTCTGGAAAATGAAGAAAGTAGAAAATGTCCCTCTGGTTTCTTTCTTAGAATTGAGGCTAGTCTATATGATAAAATCCAGAACACCTGAATAAGCTACTGGAGCTGACCTTGCAGCACTTGAACCTGCAGTCTGAGTCTCAGGTCTCCAGTGGAATAATTCTGGATCCTTGAAGAATGAGAGCTCCTCCTCTCTCCCACACACAGATACTTTGTAAAAAAAACTGTGCAATACGTCTGAAGAAAATTAGAGCCGACTCCTCTAAGGAAGGAACATTGGTGTTAAACCCTCTTAGTGATAAGCCAAAGGTCAGCAGTCAAATCTCCCAGCTGTTCCACAGGAGAAAGGTCTGTTGCTCCCACTTCTTTAAGGATTGTAGCCTAGTTCTACTGATGGGTTGGGATGATAAGGCCACTAAGAGTTGGGTTCAACTCTGTGGCACACAGCAACAGTCCTCCGTGAACAGGCTGTTCATGGAGATAGACTGTCCACTTGGGAAGGGAAAATCAGAACAGTAGGCTTGCCTCTTGGTCTCCAAATCACCTTTAGTCTGAGGCCCTCTTTTTAAAGACTGCAGTTTCCACTACTTGGCTTTGATGTTCAGATCTAATCATCCTTGGCTAATTCCAACCAACTGCAAATACCAGAACAATCGTACTGAAGAAGAAGGGATAATAGAATAGAAATGTCATCTATAGAGAAACACAACAGATGATTTGGAGTACAAGATGGGGATTTCCTTATCCTCATCACAGGTTTCCTGTTCCTCTCTCATATCCCATCACCATGGAGATAGTGTGGTTAGGGTTGTGTCCCATCGTGTCAGTTCCAACTCATAGCGAACCTGTATAGGGTTTCTTCACAGGAGTAGAAAGCCTCATGTTTCTCCCTGGGAGTGGCTGGTAGATTTTAACTGCTGGCCTTGCAATTATCAGCCCAGCTACACTAGCAGGACTCCTTCCATCAGCATGTTGTTATGTTGTTGTTAGATGACATCAAGTCTGCACAACAGAACAAAACACTGCCCCATCCAGGGCC